AAAAAATTCCTGAATCAGGTGAGATGAATGAGCAGGTGTGTTTTATACAGTCATAAAATGCGATGCTCGGAATTTTCGACGCTCAAACAACGTACCGTTGCCGACTGAACAGCTGTTGGGTCGTGCCACTTGGTGGCGGTATTCCTAAAGGTCGACCTTAAATACTGAATATCTGTTTTCCATAATAGGATGCCCAAGGATGAAGATATACGCAGAGGTCGGATACTTTTGGGACAGACCTCGTACAATCATATATATGCCATTATACAGGGTGTCTCAGAACTTTGGCACACGGGCTCCGTAGGAACATAGAGCTAAGTGAGAGGAACAAAAAAGTCCTGTGCCATAATGTGAAAATCGTAGTTTAATAGTTTTTAATTATAACAGCGCAAAGTTAGTCCCAGCACGGCCTATGGACGCTCTGCAAGCTGTGTTCGTAGAAGCTGAGCGATAACGCGTCTCGCGCTGACTGTCGCGATGGCGACTTGGCACTTTGACGCCGTACGACGGTCAGCGCGAGCCGCGTTATCGCTCAGCCCCCACGCACACAGCTTGCCGCGGAGCGTCTATAGGCCGCGCGGAAAACGCCTAACTTTGCGCTGTTATAATGAAAAAAACTATTACGATTTTCACATTATAGCAGAGGACTTTTTTGTTCCTCTTACTTAGCTCTATATCTCTACGGAGCCCGTGTGCCAAAGTTCTGAGACACCCTGTATACAGTGTCCCATTTTAATGTCCCACCCCAAATAACTCTTCAGTATTGAAGTTTAGTGCTTTATTTAGTCTCAAAAATATATTGTTATAATAGCGCCGTAATTTGATAATTTTGAAATTTCCAAAAGTCAGTAAGTTTACAAAAGTCAGGGCGCTATTGTAACAATATATTCTTGAGACTAAATAAAGCAAGAAAGTCTAGTACTACTTTTTCTTCCGATAAATAGTTAGCGAGATATCGTAAGTTAAATATTAAAAAAGTTATCAAATTTTCCTCAAATATCTCAAAAAATATTGGACAAATAAAAAAATGTTGTAAACAAAAGTTGCTCAAATTAATTGGTAGAAAAAAACAGTGTAATAAAAAATAAGGATTCCCGTTAAAAAAAGTTGATCTTCAAATGACCTTGAAAATAGAGGTCAAGGTCAAAGTCAAGGTCATCATAAAGTAGCTCACTTAAATCCCTACAACTTTTATTCAAATCATTTTCCTTGAAACTTCAATACTGTAGGTAGAGTTATTTGGGGTAGGACATTAAAATGGGACACCCTGTATACGACATCGCGATGGCGTCTCGGCGCTTTGATGCCGCTTAACGGTCAGCGCGAACCGCGTTACCGCTTAGCCTCGAAGCACACAGCTCGGCGCGGAGCGTCTATAGACCGCGATGGGCATGACAAACGCCAAACTTTACACGGTTATTACTAAAAAACTACACGAGATATCGCTAAATGGAAAAAGACTTTTTCGTTCCTCTCGTTTAGCTCTACGGTTCTATGGAGTTGATGTGTTACAATTATGGGATATACAGAGTGTCCGGTAATTAGCTGCCAACCCGAAATGTGAAGGTGGATTGGGTTAAGACAAATATAACACTCCTATGCCGTTTTGCGAGATTCGCAATAATTATCGAGTTATTAATTATAGAAATCTGACGAATGAGCGCACGCTGAGATGGATGATTGGAGAAGTGTCGCAGCCTCTCGGGTTATAGCGTGGCCCAGTCAACCCATCAACTATTGGCGGCGTGCGACAAGACGTAGGTGCGGCGAGATAAAGCTACGAATAGCGGCACGTTGTCCTTCCCCTCGACGCGCACCGGCAATAGTTTCTGAATCGACTGGGCCGCGCTGTAGCCTGAATAGCTGCAATGTTTCTCCAATCATCTGTGTCGACACGCTCCCACTTTTCAGATTTCTGTCATTAATATCTCGATAATTATTGCGAATTTCGCAAAACGATATACGACTTTTATATTTGTCTTAACCCAATCTACCTTCGGGTTGGCAGCTAATTATCTGACACCTTGTATATGTATACAGGGTGAATGAATATAATATGAACAAGTAGTTATGTTAGTGTTTAGAAAATAAAATGGCGGATTCAATATGGCGAACAAAAGCCGAAAAATTGCAAAAAATGACGAAATCTAATAAAAAGCCTTTTATTTTATCTGATGTTTTTATTCTTTTGTGCTTTTTTGGCAGAACGTAAACAAATAGTCACGGCAGAATAAAAAAATGGCATTTTCAATATGGTGGACAGAGACAAAAACTAATTAAATGTTTCTAATAGTTTGATATTTAGAATTCAGAAAATGTATTTTCTGTAGTTCTGCAGCACCATTTTAAAGAATAGAATACTTGCATACTTTTCTTATTTAAAGTAAACATGGCTGATCCAATATGGCATCCGAAAGGCGAAAAATTGTAAAGAAATGTTGTAAGCTAACAAAATATTTTGATTTTATTTTATTTGGCGTTTGTGTATTCCTCTATGTTTCTTTTGGAATAACACAAGTAAATAGTTATCTTATTGTTCAAAAAATAAGACGGCAGATCAAATATGGCGAACACCGTTAGTTAACTTAATAAAAATACCATTTATTAGTGTTTAGTGTTTTCGATTGTGAAAATGGATTTAGTTCTACAATATTTTTCTTAAGAATTCAATAACTATACGTTTTACGTACTCAGAAAAATTCAATATAGTAAATCTAATGTCATATTTGACAAAAGAACTATGAAATACTTATGTAACATTCGAAAGAGTGAATTGTATTATACATACATCACTTATTCGAAAACTAGGATTACAGTTTTGTATAGTGGTCAAATTGAAATTGCAAAAACTTATTGATAAGGGACATTAAAGTTTTGTTTTACATCTATATTTCTTCTAAATATTCTTCTAAATATATTTATTTGTGTCATATATTGTGTATTGAATAGAATTTATAAATTTGCAATTTTTCGCCTTTTGGACGCCATATTGGACCTACCATGTTTACTTTAAATAAGAAAAGTATGCAAGTATTCAATTCTTTAAAAAAGTACTGCAGAACTACAAAATACATTTTTTGAATTCTAAATATCAAGCTATTAGAAATATTTAATTAGTTTTCTACCTCTGTCCATCATATTAAATCCGCCATCTTTTTATTCTGCCGTGACTGTTTGTTTACTTTCTGTCAAAAAAACAAAAGAATAAAAACATCAGATAAAATAAAAGGTTTCTTATTAGATTTCGTCATTTTTTGCAATTTTTCGGCTTTTGTCCGCCATATTGAATCCGCCATTTTGTTTTCTAAACACTAACTTAACTATTTGTTCATTTTATACTAAAAAAACATAAAAAAGAATATATATCAAGCAAAATAAAGTATTTTTTGTTAATTTTTATTATTTCTCTGCATTTTTTCAGCTTTTGCCGCCATATTGGATCAGCCATTTTGAATCTTGAATCGGGTCAGATGATATTCGAAAGTTTGTTATTATCTACATTTTAAATACCGATTAAAGTATTTTATTTAAAAACTCTGGGCAGAGGGTGTTCGATTTCATGTGGAATGACTCATACAGGGTCTGCCAAAAGTTCCGGAACGGTTAATTATTTCAAAAAATAATGATTATTTAAAACAATATTTGAAATAAAAGTTGTAGGGCTTAAAAGAAGCTATCAGATATTGACAATTGTTTGACCTGGGAATGACATAGAGAAACGTTATCAAGGTCGACATAAAAATCTTAAATGGAAACTCCAATTTTTTATTACACTGTCTTTTCCCACCAATTAATTTGAACAAATTTTGTCTGAAATATTTTTTATTTGCCTAATATTTTTTCAGATATTTAAGGATAACTTGATAACTTTTTCAATATTTAACTTACGATATCTCGCTAACTGTTTGTCGGGGTAAAAGAATGGTACTAAACCTTTCTATTCTATTTGATCTCAAGAATATATTGGTACAATAATGATCTATTTTTTGTTAATTTATCGATCTTTCGAAATTTCAAAATCATCAAATTAACAAAAGTCAGGGCGCTATTGTAACAATATATTCTTGAGACCAAGTAGAATAGAGAGGTACCATTTTTTTATCACGACAAACAGTTAGCGAGATATCGTAAGTTAAATATTGAAAAAATTACCAAGTTATCTTTAAATATCTCAAAAAATATTAGGCAAATAAAAAAATATTTCAGACAAAAAGTTGTTCAAATTAATTAGTGGAAAAAGATGGTGTAATAAAAAATTAGAGTTTCCATTTAAGATTTTTATGTCGACCTTGATAACGTTTCTCAAGGTCATTCTAAAGTCAAACAATTATCAATATCTGATAACTTTTCTTATGCCCTATAACTTTTGTGTCAAACATTGTTTTAAACAATCATTAGTTTTTGGAATAATTAACCGTTCCGGAACGTTTGGTAGACCCTGTATACTCCATAAAATTGTGATCAACGGGTTTATTTAACTTTAACTTTACCTGGATAATATCAATTCTATGGAGTATATACATGTGATGCGAATGAATTATTATTTTTTACAAATAATTTATGGACTCATAAAACGATGTTTACGAGAGAAAATATTTTTAATGTTCTTCATTTTTTGCTTTAACTTATTAATAGGTCTTCTGATGTTTTCTTCTTTTTTTTACCCATTATGGACGTGATGCGGTATCAAATCATTCAATATTAATTTGGCATAATTTAGTCGTTAAAATCTGAGAAACACTTTCTATATAAAATATATAAAATGTTCGAAACACAGTTTTTAATTAGCTACGACTGTAACTATACTTATTTCAAAGACGTTGCCACGGCTACATTTAATCCTTCTTTCGTGTATACGTTTCTTACTGAGACGTCTCGTAGTCATTCTAGTCGTATTTAATCATTGAGGTAGCAAGATTAACAAAGTTCTTTATTTTTTTGTGTATGTCAATTCAAAAGTTATGATATTAATATTTGAATCAATTATAATCGAATTGAAGGGCTGAAGCTGACATTGCAGACGAAAAGGCGGGCCAACGGCAGTGGTGATGAAGGCAGGAAGAAGCTGAAAAAAGAGGACGGCAGCGCTGACGACGAAGAGGAGGAGGAGACAAGCAATAACAACAAGGGTGGGGTAAGGATTCTTTGTATTTATTACATATATTTTATTGTTTTTGTTAAAAACAATGATACTAAATTCTTTTTTCTTTTTTTTTATTTTAATATTGAGATTAAAATAATTGATTCATATAAACCTTTATTTTCTTATGAATTTTTTTCAATTTAAATAGTATATTAATTACAATATGATTTATATACATATATAATTAGGAAACGGTTGACTGTGCCGAAGATGATATAACTAAAAAAAGAAATTATTATTATTTTTTACATACAGGATGAGTGGTTATAAGTTTACAATCTGAAGTGTGAAGGTAGATTGGGTTACAAACATAAAAGTCCCATACCGTTTTGCGAGATTTGCAATAATTATCGAGTTATTAATGACAGAAATCTGAGGAGTGGGAGCGCGCCGACATAGATGATTGGAGAAGCGTTGCAGCTGCTCAGGCCGCAGCGCGGCCCAGTCGATCCAGAAACTATTGCCGGTGCGGCGCACAATGGGACAAATGGGTCTTTTTGTGGACAAAAATTGCTAGACGGCGTAATTCTTAACGGATTTCCATGCTTTTTTTTAATTTACTCGCGATGAATTGCTCTACAATCGTATCGAGCCCGTTTTTTAAATTAGGCCCTCAATTCAAAATGACGGACACGTAAATTTGTCAAATGTATAAAACCTGTAAAATATCAAATATTTTTGGATCGGACAAAGTTTATACAGGATTTTAAGGCCTCCGAGATACATATGTAAGATCGAAATTCTCAGTTTTTGCCAGTGGAGAGGATCTGCAGTGGCCTGATATATTTTATACCTGCCTGATATCCCCACATTATCAATGTATTCTACTAATGAGTTTGCGTATATATATTGCAAAAAATAATGCAAAATATTATTTAATTACAAAAAAGAAAAATATACTAAACATTTTAGCACATGACGAAATCGTCAGAATAAAAGGAGATAAGTATTACCATCATTAATACAGCCAGTTCACACGATTGACTTTAATCCGTTATTTTCATCTGAGTACTGACTTGATATGCTGTCACCTATATCAGGATTTTACGTTAAACTATGGAATTCATAAATAATCCAGCAATATATGTTACGTATATATATACGTATTATATATATATATATGCAAACTCATTAGTAGAATACATTGATAATGTGGGGATATCAGGCAGGTATAAAATATATCGGGCTCTGCAGATCCTCTCCACTGGCAAAAACTGAGAATTTCGATCTTACATATGTATCTCGGAGGCTTTAAAATCCCGTATAAACTTTGTCCGATCCAAAAATATTCGATATTTTACAGGTTTTATACATTTGACAAATTTGCGCGTCCGGCTTTTTGAATTGAGAGCCTAATTTAAAAAACGGGCTCGATATGCTTGTAGAGCAATTCATCGCGAGTAAATTAAAAAAAAATCATGGAAATTGGTTAAGAATTACGCCGTCTAGCGATTTTTGTCCACAAAAAGACCCATTTGTCCCACTGTGCGGCGAGGGGAAAGACAACACGCCGCTATTCACCTCTGTGAAGTTGGCCCCACCTTTTCAAAATTTGAAAAAAATGAGCAGAGTTCTGATTGCCCCCCCCAAAAAAGTTCTAGAGTTCTCTATCAATAAAAAAAAGAGTTCGGTTGATTAAAGTGGTCAAAACACGAAATAAAGTTATGGGGGGCCAACTTCACAATTGCATAAATTTCAAAAGATCATAACTTTTTTACCTTAAACTTTAGCGCTTTGATGCTTGAAGAAAATCGATAGAACTCTTCGGGGGGCTACCAGAACTCACAAGAAATTGACCGATTATCGAAAAAAAATTTTCTATTAGAAAATTCGGCATCTACGATATTTTGATGAGCTAGAACTTTTTCATTTCTGCTCGAATCGATTCGAGTCATAAGGAAAACCGATAGAACTCTTCGGGGGGCTACCAGAACTCTCAAGAAATTGAACGATTTCCGAAAAAAATTTTTCTCTTAGAAAATTCTGCATCTGTGATACTTTGATGAGCTAGAACTTTTTCATTTCTGCTCGAATCGATTCAAACGGAAATGAAAAAGTTCTAGCTCATCAAAGTATCACAGATGTAGAATTTTCTAAGTCCACCTAGGAGAAAATTTTTTTTCGGAAATCGGTTAATTTCTTGAGAGTTCTGGTAGCCCCCCGAAGAGTTCTATCGGTTTTCCTTATGACTCGAATCGATTCGAGCGGAAATGAAAAAGTTCTAGCTCATCAAAGTATCACAGATACAGAATTTTCTAAGTCCAACTAGGAGAAAAATTTTTTTCGGGAATCGGTCAATTTCTTGAGAGTTCTGGTAGCCCCCCGAAGAGTTCTATCGGTTTTCCTTATGACTCGAATCGATTCGGGCAGAAATGAAAAAGTTCTAGCTCATCAAAGTCTCGTAGATCCAGAATTTTCTAAGAGAAAAATTTTTTTCGGAAATCGGTCAATTTCTTGAGAGTTCTGGTAGCCCCCCGAAGAGTTCTATCGGTTTTCCTTATGACTCGAATCGATTCGAGCAGAAATGAAAAAGTTTTAGCTCATCAAAATATCGCAGATGCCGAATTTTCTAATAGAAAATTTTTTTTCGATAATTGGTCAATTTCTTGTGAGTTTTGGTAACCCCCCGAAGAGTTCTATCGATTTTCTTCAAGCATCAAAACGCTAAAGTTTAAGGTAAAAAAGTTATGACCTTTTGAAATTTACGCAATTGTGAAGTTGGCCCCCCATAACTTTATTTCGTGTTTAGACCACTCTAATCAACGGAACTCTTTTTTTTATTAATAGAGAACTCTAGAACTCTTTGGGGGGCAATCAGAACTCTGCTCATTTTTTTCAAATTTTGAAAAGGTGGGGCCAACTTCACAGAGGTCCGCTATTCGTTGTTTTATCTCGCCGGACCTACGCCTCGCCACATGCCGCCAACAGTTGCTGGGTCAAGTGGACCGCGCTGTGGCCTGAGCAGCTGCAACGCTTCTCCTATCATCTATGTCGGCGCGGTTCCTCAGATTTCTGTCATTAATAACTTGATAATTAATGCAAATCTCGCAAAACGGTATGGGACTTTTATGTTTGTCTTAACCCAATCTATCTTCACACTTCGGGTTATAAACTTATAACCCCCCACTCTTTATATAGGTTTTTGATATCATGTTTTTAATTTCAGCGATCAAACTATTTTCATGTTTCTAATAAAAACAAGAAAATGATAAAAAACTTGTAAAAGTATGATAAAGATATTACAAAAGTGTTAATCGTCTAGGTTTCGAAAAATTTATACATGTAAAATAAATTGATATATGTATGAAATATTAAATTCTAATAACGATTGAAGTATGTGACAGTTATCATGCAAAAATCTGACAAAAATATGAGAAAATGAAGATATCTGGAGCGATAATTTCTTTCGTATATTAGTGTTTGTCTTTTAGTATATGATGTATTTGCAGAAACAAGCGAAAAACAATTATTATTTTATACATTTTTATACATCACGCTAATTCTATTGATATTTTTCAGCTACGGTGCCAGATCTACAAAGTGTATAAAAAGTATTAGGACGGCGAAATATCTTGAAAACTAAGCATTTTAGAGAAAAATGTTTCAGACGAAAGGTGTACGGTTTTAAAGAGGACATGAAACGACTATATCGTTTTGTTTACAGATGGCGCCACTTTCGAGATATTCACTGATCATTACTTTTATTAAATGGAAACCTCAATTTTTTATTATACCGTCTTTTTATACCAATTAATTTTAACAATTAATTTTAACAATTTTAACAATTTAAACTTTTTTGCTCTACTTAGTTTCAAGAATATATTGTTACAATAGCCCCCTGACTTTTGTTAATTTGATAATTTTGAAATTTTCCAAAGTCAGTAAATTAACAAAAGTCAGGGCGCTATTATAACAATATATTCTTGAGATTAAATAAAACAGAAAAGTCTAGTACCATTTCTTCTTCCGACAAATAATTAGCGAGATATCGTGAGTTAAATATTGAAAAAATTATCAAGTTTTCCTTAAATATTTCAAAAAATATTAGGCAAATAAAAAATGTTTCAGACAATAGTTGTTTAAATTAATTGGTAGAAAAAGACGGTGTAATAAAAAACTGAAGTTTCTATTTAACAAAAGTAATGATCAGTGAATATCTCGAAATCAGGGCCACTGTGAACAAAACAATATAGTCGTTTCACGTCCTCCTTAAAATCGTACAACTTTTATCTGAAACATTTTTCTCTAAAATGTTTAGTTTTCGAGATATTTCGCCGTCCCGGTACTTTTTATACAGCCTATATATATCATAAATTATAATTATTATATTATACCATTAAAAACGTGTTCGTCGCGAACTTCTTCGTGTTTTATCAGTCATTATTTTTTTAACGATATTACACAGACCAATTATCTTAATGTAAACATTATATGAAGTGAAAAGTTATATGCGTATGTGTGTGTGTGTTATACGAATGAAATTATTCTCCCAATCCCAGGGAGAGTGCGCGTGAGATTCTCGAAACGAATTCCTTTCGCCGACGATTCCTTTCCATCCTCGTGTCTCGCATGCATGTCCTTGACTGCCGTCGCGAGTAATCTCACGCCGCGAATAAATTAATTCCGACGGACGCCATCGCGCGAGCTTTTTCGACACTCGTGAATTTGCACATCACGTATGCAGATCAGGATCGTTTGTTTTCGGCTCCAAGTGCAGATTGGCTAAAATTAGCCAAAATTGCATACGCGAAGAGGCGTACAAGTTAGAAGAGGCGTGTTTCGCAATTTTAATTGGTCGCACACGGCATATACTCCAAATCGCGTTTACAATCGCCTGATTACGTTTGTCTTCGGCTTCGCTCCGATATTTCCATTTTCATTTCGCTCGTGAGTAGACTTGCCGTCGTCTAGCCGTCGTCCTACCTACTCTGGCCTCGAAGCTAACAAAAGTATCGCGCTAACGTATATTACATACGATGAAATTCCACGAC